GGCAGAAAGAGCACCCTGGGCTGGTGGAAGATGTCCCTGCTGATGGCAGGGGGGTTGGAACCAGACGAGCTTTAAGGTCCCTGCCAACCCAAACCATTCTATGGTTCTGTGATTCTGCAGAACCTGGCTTGGCACTGCTGGATGTTACATGGAAGGTCTCCAGGGACTAGCCAGGCCATGTAGAAGTGCGGGTGGATAACCTACTGCACATCTCTTCTGTAACCCAAGAAATCGGTTTTCGCTCTCTTTTGCTTTCAGACAGCCACGATGCCGTCTTGCGATTCAATGCGGCTCCTGTCAAGGGGTTTCAGGAGGACGTGGGGCAAAAGACAACGATTCGCCTGGTGAACTCGCAGGTAGGTCTGCCGAACGCGTGCCGGACGGGGCGACTGGCGGAGCTGCGTACCTGCCCCGTGCCGCCTGGGAGCTGAGCGGCCACCTGGAATCACAACATCCACGGGGCTTCTCGCTTCGTCTGCTGCTGGGAGGTCTTGAAAATGAATCTGGGGAGGACAGGGCTTTCCACCCAAGTTCTCCTGTCCCTAGCAGATAGCTGCAGGGTGGGCACATCCTTCCTTGTAGCGGAGGGCAGTTGGTAAATCATTTCCCCGTAGCCCAGATACGTTCTGAGGTTACTAAATCAGCGTGTGCTAGTGAACCTGCAGCAGCCTGCTTGCGACTTACGGTAAGCACAAGGTAATTTGATTTTTGGCTCGGCCCGAAGCCTGTTTCTAAGCAGGGGAATGGCAGCTGCACGCTTGCCGCTGTGCTTTGGGAGGGTGAGGTGGGAGCAGAGCTGCGGATGAGCTGACGCTGCCCAGCAAGCTGAGGTGTCTCAGGAGGGGGGTTGTGCCTGCCCCAGAGGTGGGCGTGAAGAGTGGAGGAGGCTTATCTGGTGTTTAATAAAAGAACAATACTTTTCTGCCCAGCAATGTCAGACTCTGTAGATAACACATTAACTGGGGTTGTCAAATGGCTGGGGCTGTTTAGTCTGGAGAAGAGGAGCTGGGGAGGGACCTTCTCGCTCTCTACAGCTACCTGAAGGGAGGTTGTAGCAAGGTGGGTGCTGGTCTCTTCTCCCAGGTAACCAGCGATAGGATGAGAGGCAATGGCCTCAAGTTG